TTGTCTTTTGTTTATTATAGTGTACCATTTTGTTTCTATTTATAAATCACTTATGTTTTAAGCCCACAAACCAAGAAATACATTAAATTGATGATTTTTTTCTCACATTTTCTCTTATTAAATAAAGGGCATTAAAAATATATTTTATATTTTCTCTCACCTATTTATTTTATCTCTATGTATTTATTAAGTCAAAAGAGATAAAATTGAAAAAAAGCTCATTAACTATCTTATAAGTGACTTATATTTAAGAATAAACTTTTTACTTACATATGACTTGCATGTAAATAGGAACAAACTTCAGTATATACTGCCTCAAATCCTAATTATAAGACCTCATTTATGGAGTACAAACGAGTTCTTATAATTAGGACAGGAGGTATTTTTAAATAAGGGTCAAATTGAAAATTTTTATATTTTAAGACAAAGTTAATACAGTCTAAGATTTTTTTTTTAATTCCTGTGAAGTATGCTTAAAATACCCTATGAATAGGATCAGATGAGTACTGTTTTATTATTTATTTATTTATTTATTTATTATTGTCTATAGTGTTATCTTCTTAAAAAGTATATATGTTAAATGGAAATAAAATTAAAAAATTGTTAAATTTTAGACAAGGTTGATGAAATTTAAGGTTTTCCGGTTGATTCCAATAAGATATATTGAAAAGGAAGTTGCAAATAGGATAAAAGGAAAGTATAACACCTCATTAAAACAAATCAATGGTGCCTTCTAGAATATACGACCATATTATTATATATGTATGGGAGTGGAGTGAGTACTGAATACTTCGAAGAACAAAAAACAAATAAACACATGTATGTATTTGTATGTGTCAGAATATTTGTCCACGTATAGCTACGATTAGAATACTCCATTGATCATATTTATAAGACCGAGAATATTAAAAAATGAACAGGTCTGGTGATTGATACTTGTCTGCTGCCTACAGGCTGAAGTCGCCGCACAGTCGTCATACGATATCTCTTCGATCACATCTACCACGTTCATCAACTTCATTCATCATATTAACTCCAAATCTAAACCTGATCTTCTGTACCACATAGATATCATGCCCATCATCTCATATGTTCCTCTCATCATTGATTGTTTATCTTATCTTATTAATTACTCTCTCTTTATTATATGCTTCAAACAACTGATTATTTGCATATAAAAGAATTAGATAAAAATAGTTAAGAAGGATGAGTCAAAAGTATACATCTATTCCTATATATACATACATATATATATATATATGCTCTTATAATAAGTAGGCAAAAACAAAAGAAGATGTATAAAGATGTAATAAGAAAATACCCTCTGATAGAAGGTTTATGTTGGTTATCGTTAAATTTTTTGTGTGAATATATTATTTTGTCCTTTATTTATTGTGGTTATTTTTTTAAAAAGTGTATATATTAAATAGGAGTAAAATTTGAAAGTTATTATATTATAAAATAAAGTTAATACAATTTAAAGTTTTTTTTATATGCATAAAATATGTTAGAAGTACCCTCTAAAGAGGATTATAGGAGCATAGGGTAGAGGAGAGAAAAAGAAACGATTAAAGACAAAATTAAAAAGAAACTCATTAAATATTTAAATTAATTTGATTTAAATCTTATAAAATGAACTATGTCTCTAACTAAATTTAAAGCTTATAAATATGATATCAACGATAATTTATCATCCCTTTTGTAATTTTTCCTGTATCTCTAGATTTATTATCCTCAATCATTGACCTACCTAGTGAGGTAGTTGAAGATCTCCACAGCAACTCAATCTGGACAAATATCTTAAATTCCTAACTCCTAAATGTTGGTGCCCGTGTGTGTGTGTGTGTCTACACACACATATATTTTTTTTTGGCAAAATCACTTCTCCAAATACATCTCGTGCCAGATATTATATAGATACTTTTTGAAATTTACACTTACCTACCTTATCTTTATTTTGGCGTCTTCCAGAATCTCCATTGGAAGAATCCGGATCCAATATGGTCGGACGAGTAATGTAGAGCTTTTTCAGGGTTATGCCTTTTATTCATATGGACAATGCTCAATTTCAAGACCTTATTCAGAGGAAACATGCATGAACCAATTAATAACTGTCATATATACACACCCATTTATACATATAGCTACTCAGTCCGGCGTCAAAATGATAAATTTTCCATTTTACCCCTAAAAAATAATAAAATTGTTTTTAATATTATACTTTTATTATCTCTTATCTCTCTCCTATATTTAACAGGAGCAAAGGTAAAAAAATCACATTAATTATCTTAACAATATCTTATATTTTCAACCACAATTTTCTTTTAATCAATCTCTTGTATCATGGATAAGAGGCATTGAGGCAGTACGATTTTGATGATTTATATTATATTCAACCATTATTTAAAGTAGATGTTTTGTACAATGTCATGTGCTCATCTGTATTTAGAAAAATAGTAAAACAAATAAAAATGTGTGTAAAGTATACTATCTCTCTGCATGCTTAGCTGCTAACTTTGGAACGTCTATTGAAAACAAAAACATAAGATAGATGAGGTACAAATTTCACAATTTGACTACCCATGTGTTTTAAAGAATTGTGAAACTTTGCACAATTCAGTTTTTAGCTGAAAAATGGAGAATAAAAAATTGTAAAATTTCATACAATAACTTTTAGAAGTGGGCGAAAATTTTAGATGACTGAGTATGTAAAATTTATGTAATTTGTCGCACATGTTGATCACATAAATTGCAAATTGAGTGTATTAAAATTTAATAACAAAAATATTATTAAAATGATAATATTTTAATATTAGTCACCGGCGTTCGCGACGGTTGCTTACTGGAACATTGATTATCTTACATATGATTTAAATGTCAATTTTCCTAATAAAAAAATACTGATAAAATTGACTTTTTCCTTTGGTTTGAAAAGTAAATCTGAATTTTGGCAAAAATAAAAATGGGAATGTGCAAGTCACATACCCTAACTTTCGATAAATACAACAGTTGGTTAAGCTGTCACTTCAAAGATCCCATTTAATTTGGAGCCTTATTGTAATTTTTAATTTATTAGAAGTAATTTTATCTGTAAAATTTTAAAAATATACAAGAAACCAATCAATAAAATGAAAAAGTCAATAGACAAATTAATATTATTTAAAGAAACTATCAAATCATTTAATCTAATTACTTTTTCTTCATCATTGCCATGCATTAGGGTATGCTAGAATTGATTTAATGGAAATATAAATGAATATAATTGGGATTGATGTAAAAATATAATTGATGTCTTGGCTTAGCTTATAAATCATAAATCACTAATGAGCAACGTGAATTTCATGATTCGTATACAGTAATTACTAATTATTAATTGTATAGGCATAGGCAACAATTTTTTACCGTGACAATACTTTTTTGGGTTAATATGCTTTTTATTGCTCAAATTTGAACTTATTCTGATTTTAATTTTTCAAATTTTGAACTCAGTTTTAGTTCCTAGAATTTAGTTCTTCAAGTGTAACAGTATTAAAATTTACTGAAATAATGTTATAAAAAATGTTAGCAATTCTGACTCATCAAGTAGCATCTAGTTAGATCTTAAAGAAAGGAAAAGAAGGAACAGATTCTTAAATTACAGCTGTTTAGCCTCTTTTTTATTTCTTGCTGTTTATTTGAGGAATCATTTACTACGTCATGTTTTGAAAATTCATCCCTCTCTGTAAAAACATTCTCTGCGTTGCGTTTTGAAGACATGCATGTTCTTTTTTTTCCCCCTCTTATTATCTATAAAAGATCTAGCTAAGTGTCACCTAATAAGCCTAGATCACCATTTTAATGTAATTTATGACATATTTCAACAGATTTTGACATCTTTGCAGCTTAAGAAACTAATATTTTATGATGAACTAAATTTTATAAACTAAAATCACTGATTTAAAATTTGAAAATCCAAAATCAAAATGGACTCCAATTTCTTGGGACATAACCTCTTGTTACTGTGAGCCGAAACAATGTTGTAATATGCAAGCACACTGTAAATTTTTTGAAATCTAAAAGCCTTGCTGCCTTGCACATAACTTCTGTTGATTAGGTGCCGGAGCGCATATGTGGGTCCTAATTAAGATCTTCCAAAAGCTATCTTTTTGTTCAAAATCAGAATCTTAATCGATCCTGGGGCAGTGGGTATCTTTGTCAGATCGTGAACACTTAATACTACCTATTATGTGATGAAATTAATGACAATTAATTTGAGGGGTTTAATTGCTTTTACTTTTCAAGCAAAGCTTTTAATTAAGTTCCAATCGTATGTATGAAAAAAATTCTTCTGGGTAGATGCCTTCTCACTTATGTGGTCTCACTCTCACCCAGCTAGATAAAATTAATTTGGGCTTAATATGGAAAACCAGCATGAAGATTTTAATGCACGATTAGGTTTGATGAATTAAGGGAATTTTAGGGTTTAGTGGGTAATTATAATGAGGATTTGATTAGTCATAAGTTCAGAAGTTGAAATATTGGCGCATCTCAACCAACCGCCCTCCCGATTATAAACAATGGCAAGTACCATATTTATTAGTTATAAACCTTCTACACACCATCAAGACTAAATGAATTAATGGAAAATCTTTTCTGTATTTTTCGTGTGGATATGATAGAAAGCTTACCTGTACAGTTGTCAATCACCACATATAAATTAACTATATTATAATTAATATTTCAACACAAGGCACGAACTGGACCCAATATCTTCCTTACGTACACTACAGAATCAATCATTGATATATTTATTTATTTTTCTTTAGCAGAGAGCCAGAGACGAGTTGAAGAAGACTCTTCTCTGCCTAAACCCTCCTATAAATATACCTCGGGTTGCAGCTAAATTTCTCATTCAACACAGTTCAGCTCTCTCTACCTAACACGCTAATTCCCCTTACTTTCTGTCTCTGTCTCTTTCTCTCTCTCTCTCTCTCCCCCAAGCTTTCTGCAAATTGCATATTATGGGGATCGAGACACATCAATGTGATGTTGAGCTTTCAAATATCGCCATTTCTGATGCTCATGGGGAAGACTCTCCATATTTTGCAGGGTGGAAAGCTTATGACGAGAACCCCTATGACGAACTCACTAACCCCTCTGGTGTTATACAAATGGGTTTAGCTGAGAATCAAGTAAGTATATAGAGCTTCATTAAAAGAAGACACATAACTTCAATATCAGTAATATATACGTGTATATGTCTGATATTTATTATTGCGTTTCAAACAGGTTTCTTTTGATATGTTGGAGAAGTACCTGGAGTCCCAGCGGGAGAAAGGAATTACAGTTTCAGGGTTTAGAGAGAATGCTTTGTTTCAAGACTATCATGGCCTTCAATCTTTCAGAACTGCAATGGCTAGTTTCATGGAAGAAATACGAGGAGGCAGAGCCAAATTCGACCCTCGCAGAATTGTCCTCACTGCAGGCGCCACTGCTGCCAATGAGCTCTTAACCTTCATCCTCGCTAACCCAGGAGACGCTCTTCTTGTTCCCACCCCCTACTATCCTGGGTGAGCACCACATCTTAACTCAAAACTTTAAGATTCAAGTTAGATTCAAGTAGTGTGTAAAGTACGAATGAATCGTACTAATTAGTACTTTTGTTTACAGATTCGATAGGGACTTGAGGTGGAGAACTGGGGTGAAGATAGTTCCAATTCATTGTGATAGCTCAAACAATTTCCAGATTACTCCTCAAGCATTAGAGGCTGCATATGAAGAAGCAAGGTCCATGAACACTAAAGTGAGAGCTGTTCTAATCACAAACCCATCAAACCCATTAGGTGCAGCAATTCAACGAGAAGTTCTAGAACATCTTTTGGACTTCGTGAGTCGTAAGAACATCCACCTGGTCTCCGACGAAATCTACTCCGGCTCCGTCTTCTCTTCCTCGGAGTTCGTAAGCGTAGCAGAAATCCTGGAATCTCGAGGATACAAAAACGCAGAAAGAGTTCATGTCGTTTATAGTCTCTCCAAAGACCTCGGCCTTCCTGGCTTCAGAGTCGGAACCATTTATTCTTACAACGACAAGGTCGTGACGACTGCAAGAAGGATGTCCAGCTTCACACTTATATCTTCTCAGACACAGCAAATGTTGGCTTCCATTTTATCCGACAAGAAGTTCACGAAGAACTACATTAAAACCAACAGGGACAGACTCAGAAAGAGGTACGAAATGATCATCGAAGGTCTGAGAAGTTCTGGGATTGAGTGTTTGAAAGGAAACGCAGGGTTGTTTTGTTGGATGGATCTGAGTCCGATGTTGCAGAAACCTACGAAACAAGCCGAGTTAGAACTCTGGAATTCAATTGTGCATGAAGTGAAGCTGAATATATCACCTGGTTCGTCCTGCCATTGTTCTGAACCGGGTTGGTTCAGAGTTTGTTTCGCAAATATGAGCGAGCAAACGTTGGAAGTGGCACTGAAGAGAATACGTAGCTTCATGGATCAAAGAGAGAAACCTAGCTCGCAGAGGATATAGAGAGAAACCCCAATAAGTATACAATTTGTTTTAAATTATTATATATTTTTTCAAATGGTTCTTGCCATTTTGGTGAATAAATACTTAAATGGGTGTGACCATAAGATTCAACATCCTTTAAGGAAATAGGAAGAAGATGCTGTGAAGTAGATTCTGTGTTCAAGAGTTGGGCTGTTTGCTTGCTTGGAATATAGGGCAAGTTTATTACTAGAAATTCCCTGTTGTATTATAATTAATACTCCTCTGGTCCTAAATGTAAGACCCTTATAAATGTAAGACTCTTATACACACTAGTATAAGGGTCTTACATTGAGGACCGGAGGAGTAACTAGCTAGTTTAAATAATTTATGAATTGGAATATATTATTCTATATACGTTGGAATCAAAACAAATAAATGAAACAGCTTTCTTACTTGACTTGCATTCCGCAGTGGATGTCAGTGTCACGGTCTTTTTCGTTCCATTTATGGATATTTGACTTCATTAAACCATAATTAATTAGATTTAGTATCATTAATTAGCTTTCTACGTGTGTTTGTTGAGCGCGCATGATGATACGTATTAAATTGGTCAACACGTGATACCTACTCGAAGATATAGCAATATTAGTGAAATAATCAAAGTCTTTGTTACTTACGGTCTTATATCAATACATACTCTACATAATTACTTCCTCATAGACACTTTCTAAGAGATATGGCTTATACTTGTTATAAATAATTTGATTTGATGGAGTATCATCAATTGAGTTTTTTAATATTACCCTGATTTAAAGTCATTAATCTTCTAATATAATCTCCTAATATCCACTAATGCTAAAATGGGTTGGTTTGGAGATCCATACTTTGCTTGTTATCTAAATTTATTTTAGCTTCATACCTCCCTTCGTTTCTTGCATTATTTTCTCACGTTATTACAGCGGGTTATCAATAACAATTCAATCCATTTAACTTTATACAGATCTAATATTTTTTATGGCTGAATAACCTAAATTTGTATGTATATATGCTCTCTCTCCATCTATATGTGCCTCATTGTTATTATTTTATTTTATATAAAAAGTCATATTTTTTAAAAATACAAAGCAAAAGAAGAATATTTTGGGGTGGAGAGAAATGAGAATTTCTTGGAATAAAAAGGGTCATGAATACAATCCATATATATATATATATATATATATATCTTTTTATTATTATTTTATTTTATAAAAGAAACGTTATATTTTTAAAAATACATAGAAAAGTATGAATTTTCAAGAAAAACACATCCTAATTGCTTCAATAAGAAGTGGTGAAGAATACAAATAGAATAACACATTCTAATTGAGTTAAATATGTAATACACCTTATAAAGATGTTTCATTTATTTCACATCTAATCATACGTAATTACACACCACCCTGTACGTCGTACAGGAAGAAGTTTTAGTTATAAGTAAAAATTTAATACAAATATGAAAAGTTTCTATTTAAATACGGGCGGAATCAAAATTTTATTTTATTTTTAGACAAATTAAAATTAATAATTTAACCCTGTAGATGGGAGGAGTATATTCTGCAATATCAGTCATTTCTAATTAATTCAGGTATGTCAATAAAAATAATTACAAGTATCAAATTTATCATAAAATTTAAGTGATTTTTCAATATTATTATTATTAGCTACATTTAAATGAGCTCTCCTTATTATAAAATAACTAAAAGCATTTTATAGAAAGTGTCTTGTAATAATAGGGACGGGGGGGTCCATTATTATCGGTGCACGTGTGTGTATGCAAGACGTGCAATCAGAACCATTTTTATATTAAAAAGGGATGAACTAAAACCAAACGGAATTGAGTTAAGCTTAACAGCCTATTTGGCATAGTGGTAAAAATCCCTTATTAGAACATTTCACGTAAGTTGGATAAAATTCTTCTTATTTACTTATCTCGTATTCTGTAAATCATGACTGAAAAACTACTTATAAACTGTTCCAAACAAGCATTAGGACATGTACTTAAAAGAACTACGGTAGAGATATTTTAATTTTAAATGCGTCTTAATTGTCGTCATTACTATACGTTATTAGAGAAAAGTTATTTTGGTTTTAATTATTATTTTGGTCTTAATTATTTATACATAATTATTAATATGTGTGTCCGACTGTATGTATGTATATGCTGGACAGCAAGATTCTTTTCCTTTTTTTAAATAAAAAGTGATTAACTAAAACCAAACGCAATTGAGTTAAACTTAAGACACGTAGATATATTAAATCAATAAATGTTAGCCACATGAATTTGTGAAATTTAATAAAAAAAAGAAGAAGTATATGTATTCATATAACTATACAGCTCATAACTCACTGGTTCTGTTTACTTGTTCAATGATTCCTCTGAATATTTAAGGATGTATATCATCGTTATTAATTGTTTTAATATTTAAATTAAGTCAGCATGATTGGCTTTGCGGGTCTTCAGTTGTGTTTGGGATGAGACAAAAATGTCTTTGCATGGGACTGGATATTACCTCTAATTTTTTAATTTTATAAATTTATTTTACTTAAAATTATACTCTTATTGTTAAAATTTTATGATTATGTTGTATTGTTGTTAACAAGTTTTTTCATATGGGCTAAATGATTTTTTTTAGTAGATATTATAAATTTATATGTTTTTTACCTTTCAAAACAAACTTTTGTCTGTCAATTTTTTATTATGGCCAATTTTTTGGACAATTTTTATATACTTTTATATAATTTTAATCATGAATTCTTATGCTCCAATTAAGTACACTTAGTTTTGAAATTAAAAAATATATATTTTTAAAAAAAGGCGCCCCCATTCTGTGTGTCCCCTTTTGAATGAGACGGGACATTATTGGGAGAGGGCAGGACATAGGATGAAAAGGTCATCCCATCTCATTCTATCCCAGTTATCAGGACTAAATTATCCCGATCTCATTCTGTCTCATGAAGAACCATATTTGAGAGTTGTCCCAATCTTGTCTTGACTGAAAATTCTGTGCTGTCTCATGAATACCCTTAATTGGCTTTGATAATATATAATCAATTTTCAACTAAATATATCCCATTTAACAAGTCGTACTTAGGGAGTATACACTGGTTTTTATCCCCTTAGATTTAATTTATCAATCAATTAAACTTCTCATAATTGCACATGTTTTATAAATAAAGATCGCATGACATCCAATCAAACGCAAATGTATTCTTTCGCCGAAAAATCATTTTTGAATACCATTCAAGTGTTTTGTTATACTACATTAGAAGAAATTAAACTCTTAGTTTCATTGAAAATGAAGGATAAGAATCGTAACTGAGATTGAAAAAATATGTTAAAAAAACATTTAGTATAAATAATTGTTTATTATTTGAGATTGGAAAAACTCATATATGTGATATTAGGAAATACCAGGGAGATGCGGTATTCCCCAATCCCATTTATATAGGATTGCCTAATCTCATTTAACAAGAAATTATTCATATTAAATACTCTTGAATAATTTTTCTCAATCCCAATTTAAATCTTTACCTCTCATTCTTAATGTTTTGTTCCAAATGGGACCTTAATGTGTTGCCCATATCTTACACCTACCTCATTATTATCATGTGAGCTAGTGGATGTTATCTCCCAAATAGCAAAAATTATAAATATAAATCAATATTATCAGGATAATACTATCTCATGTCCTAATTATAAAACATCATTTATAAACTATAAATAACGTCTTATAATTAGAATTGTAGACAGTATTAAATTACTAAATAACTGTATTATCATAAATTATGAACAATACTGTTCTCAAATTTTGTATAACATACGGGTGAACATCAAATTTTAGAAAGTACACACACAATAAAATATCATTCCAACAAAGAATGATCATCTATCAAAATGTTAATAGTGGCAAAACGTCCGGTCCCGAATGGGGTGGGATCCCTAAAAGGCTAAAACAAAGAAATGAGGTGTTTTGGACCCAAGTCAGCAGTTTATACTTCTCTCATCTTATTTATAAGGCACTTGCAGCATGTTTCATAAAAAAAAAATCTTAAACTTTATTAACTCTCATTTAAAATTTAATAACTTTTCAACTTTATTCCTATTTAATATACATTATACCTCATGTAAACAAAATTAACAAATAATAAATGAGGGGTAAAATTGTACATCCATACAAAAAATTTCTGTCAATACACTGTAAATAGGATTAAAAAATATCTTCTCTCTCTGCCCCATAAATAGGACCAGAGGAGTATCTTTTCTAAGATATAAATTTGTTGAAAATTTTTAGTCAAAAACAATGTTGTCCTGAAAAATATTTTGGATTTAATGTCGATATGAAAGGTTTAAAATAAAGCAATATAACCCTGCCTTGTTAAAAAATTGATATTAAAAATTGACGTCAACCGTTAACATTTGTAATGATAATGGGCAAAATTACTCCATTTTAACACTTTCAAAAAGTTATATTACCAGGCAAAATAGCGTCAACAAGAAAATGTCCAATAAAATTTCAAAAAGTTTTTGACTGAAAGTCAAAGTTATATTTCCGTGGATGGATAAAACGATCCTACAACAGACCCAGAAGTAAACTTAAGAAAAAAAGACTTTAAATTGAAGCTTTACTAATCTGTTTGGCTTTTCCTATTACATTGAGTTACTCAAGTTGTGTCAACTTTTTTGATATCCTTAGACTGCACATGCAAAAAAATTTGTTTCATTGTCTACTCATCCATTCAAATTTCAGGTGTGAAATTCACTGCTTTAAGTTTTTTCTAGCCACACTCCCTTTTTAAAATTGATGTTGTCTCAACGCTTCCCTCTGCTATTCCAACTTTAATTGTATTATTTTCTTCATTTTATAAAACTGATCATTTTATTTTTAAAAAAAAAGCTTCATTCGATTTCTTAAAAAAAGATAATAATCAATTCATTAAAATCAACAAGTAATTAAGTATAGTTAAAATTAGTTATGATTTATAAATATGTTGTAGATTTAATTTTCTTTTTTTTTTTTAATTAAGTGCTACATTCATAAACGTTTGATCTGCTATTTACTTAGTATTTAATAATACTAATCTAATATATGTCATAAATGAGAATATAAAAAATAATTCAATAAATATAGCCAATAAGGAGTTATTATTTCCTATATATAGGAAA